TCATTGGGATATCTTGGAATACACTGTCAGTGTTACCAGGACCAGGAACTAGCATCCTTGGACTGATGGTGAAACCACTGGACTTTAGGTAGGCATACCACTACCAAAGATGCTCTTTTGTATTATCTCTGCTTTTGTAGAAAAGGTTGGCAGGTGCTGATGTCCTAGCTTTCTTCTCTTCTATATGTCTTCCCAACAAGAAAGAAGACTCACTACAGACAGAAAACAATGATGGAGTGAGCGCTTATTTGTGCATGCCACTGAACATTGCAAGGTTTTAAAGCATTCTCTTCCGAACTAACAAAAGCTGTAATAATGAAAGACAGGACTGATTTCCATTTTCTATAGTATTTTTACTTTAATGTAACATTCCTATAGGGTGGGTCACTATTGTTTCTGTTAAAGGTTAAAAAAAAAAAACCCTCACTTTGAGAGTTAGTAATAGAGATGCTGGTTTCTCAGGTATGTAGGTCACTGGAAAGAACAATTTTATGTCACTAGGAAATATTATAAGACAATCTAGAGGAAATAAAATATTTGTAATTTCTTTTTTTAAAAATAAATTTTATTGATTAAAATAAAATAAAAAAACACTCAAATGTATCGTACATAACATACTATTGAACAGAATCTACTCAATAAATCAAAATTATAAAAAGCATTAAATAGAAATATTGTAAAAACACTGTCAATAGTTAAACATAGGGCCTAAGCAGACTGCCAGAAATAGTGCACATTAAATTGAGGCACTGCCCTGGCTCAGTGCTAGGGAATCATGGGAACTGTAATTTATTGTGGCACCAGAGCTCTCTGACAGAGAAGGCTCAATGTCTCAGAAAAAAATACAATTCCCATGATTCCCTAGCACTGAGCCAGGGCAGTGCCTCAATTTAATGTGCACTATCTCTGGCAGTCTGCTTAGGCCTATAGTCTTCTCATACAAAGTATTCTTACTTCCTTCTATAAGCAAAAAATATTTGTAATTTCTGAACACTGAAGATTGGTAACTTTGATGTAATGTTATGAACCTTTGATGTTCCAAAATTTGTGACTTCAGATGTTAGACTTCAGTTCCCAGAAGCCCCAGATGTCATGGCTAATAACCAAGGCTTCCAAGACAATGCAACAATATCTAGGACTGCAAGTTTGAATTTTTCATTACTAATTAGCTGATATTTCCATTACTAATTAGCTTGCTGCTTTTCTTTTTAAATCTCTGTATCTTCAATATGACACCCCTTCAAATACATATACAGGGCTATGATATCACCTCTTAACCATCTTTTTTCCAGGCTAAACATACCCAGATCCCTAAGTCTTTCTTCACAGGTCATGGTTTCTAGAGTTGTCCTACTTTGGACACGCTCCAGCTTATCAACATCCTTTTTTAATTGTGGTGCTCAGAACTAGACACAGTATTCCAGGTGAGACCTGACTAAAGCAGATTACAGTGGCACCATTACTTCCCTTGATCTAGACACTATACTTCTATTAAAGCAGCATAGAATTACATTAGCCTTTTCAGCTGCTGGCAGGATGCAGTGGCTCAAGTGGTTAAGATGCTGACTTTGTTAACAACAACAACAACAACAACAACAACAACAATAATAATTTATATTCTGCCCCTCTGCAAAGCAATCGGGGCAGCTTCCAATATAAAATTCAGTACAATAAAATCAATCCCAAACCCAGCCATCCCACCCCTTAAAAAATTATTAAACAATCATCAATTAAAACAATATTTAAATTTGGCGGAGCTAATGATTTACAATAAAGAATAATAACAAACAACAGAAATGGCTGTTATGGCAGCACTATGGAAGGAAGGGAAAGGAGAACAGTTAATCTGGCTCTTGTGACCGGGGAGACTAATCAGAAGACTAATCAGGAAAGGCCTGCCAGAAGAGATCCATCTTGACAGCCCTTTTAAAGCTGTCTAAGGTCATCAAATGATAGATCTCATCCAGCAGGCCGTTCCATAATCTGGAATCTTGTTGATTGCAATATCAGCAGGTTGGCAGTTCAAGGTCCATGTGCCATGTGATGGGGTGTGTTCCCATCACTAGTCCCAGCTTCTGTCAACCTAGCAGTTGGAAAGGGCTGCTGGCCAGGCAAGAAAGAGAAATATTGAGGCAGGTGTGGCCATGGATTTCTTTCTTTCTGGGGAAGGAGATGAGACCATGGGGACCACTGCAGTCACCACTGGCACCTCCTTTCCCCACCCAGCCAGCAAGTCAGCAACAACCCATCTCTACCCCCAGGCCGGCTCTTTGTGCGAGTCTGC